TTCACAAAGAAAGGTCATTGCACAGTCCGTGATATTACGTTGTTCTGCCTAAATGAAGTTGGACGGAAAGTATTGCCTAATGAGGTTCTAGGTATTGATTGGTTGATCAACTTTGTCAAGACCATTTGTATGTATAGGGACTCCTGCTCTCAATAGCAGTACTTGCCGTGGATCAGGTCTCTCAGACGAATCTCTACGACGCAAGTTTGCATTCATCAATAGTCCAGGGACCACAACCACGAGGGCAAATCTGGATGGAGGAGCGTTGAGAAGAGAACTCCGGATAGGTGTGGATCTAGAGTGTTTCATTCGCAGGAAGTGAGACCTGTTGGTGACGCGATCATGTTTGCATCACCCAATTGCAAAGAACAGTATCAGTCTGCCTCCTTGGGCTCCTGGAACTTGGCACACTGCTTTCCAAACATTGATTGGCCATTTGACCCCTGCATGTTCTATTGCGTGGCCATGGATTTCTTCATTCTTATGTACTTCATTACCTTACGAGAGTGTACCCCAATGGGACCCTATTTGAAGCTCCGGCCATTTGTGTCTCCAAACTGTCCCATCTTGCAACTGTCCCATCGTGCTACTCACATCTCCCCTACCTTCCACCCGGCACCGATGCCCCCCCCACACCGGCCCTGTGAAGGTGGTAGGTCTTTTCATTCACCCTCACCTGGCGAACGAACCCCGAACCCGGTGGGCCGTCCCTTGCGGCCGGGTGAACCCGGTGGAGGGGGTGGATGGGAAACATATGCCAATGCAGCAAACCATCTCTCAATAAGGAAAGAGCCAGTTGTTGGTCTTAGAGTCTTAGTTGAAGATAGTTGAAGACCTGCGGTGGCTTTTCCACAAAGGACCAGACTCATAGAGATAACCCTTGCGCAAACTACCTTTCTTTCCAACAAAACCTATATCCAGAAGTTATTCATGCAACCAGACAAGAATGACGTCCAAAAAACTTCACCGCTCATTTGACATCAAACAAAAGGGTATAGTTACAGTTCTCCAAAAGTACCCACACCGCACCCCAGCTGCAAATCCATGCTGACAACCTTCCAATCACTCCCCCAAATCCTTGAAAACAAAGACTGGCCTTAAAACAACCGTCCATGTTCAATGGAGCACTTCAATCAGCGCAATGCACATCGTTGACTTCCTGAATTGTTTTTCCCTTGAACTGCTGGTCCTGGTGTTTGGCGCGTTTTTGGCACAGCCTTCCAGTCAGAGTATTTGCCCTGGCTCCAATCGAAAAAGCCCGGCGCCGCCGGCCCTGCGTAGAAGTCCTAACGGGAGCGGAGAAAAAGTTCAATTTGGGTGAGTGCCGTGAGTGCCAAAATAATAAATCAAGCTCTCTAGTAGTCAGAACATTTCACTAATCATGACGGCACCATTTCCTAGCTCCAATTCCGCCCTCCTTGATGAAGACCATGGCTGCGACTTGCTAGCTCAAAAGAGGACGATCGTGGCTTGAACCCATCACAGCAATGCGCGTCAACTCGCGTGGCCAAGAAACCCACCTGACATCTGGGGATTTTGTGGGCCAAGAAATCGACCATTTTAAGTAGCAAAAGTGACACTAGCAACACAACTTGTGGGTTGGTCAAGAATACCTAGCTCGAGGTATTAAGCTTCTCCGGCACATTTGCCGGAGGTTCCTCGGTGATTGCCAGTCTTCTGGGCTTCTATGACCAAGCATTCTCCCATGTCTCTTGGGTCCTATCCTAATACCTGTAACAAAGGATGATGGTGGTTCAGGCCGACAGTTCAAACATAGCAATACTTGTTCGCTGACTGTTACAGTTACAGGCAATAGAACACACATGAACCAACCCAACCCATTTCCATCCAAATGTACAGCGGATGATGCGACAACGGTCACTGATTCCTGGGACTTTTCATCCAACAACTGCCCGGTCGTTCTTCTACTAAATGATGTTTGGAACGTTGGAAAAAGGGCCTCTTTCCCTTGAAACTCCTATCGAGTTATATATAAGGACTGATGAGGACTCGTATGAGCATTAGATGGGATTCATTCAGCCGGTTCGCAGAAACGTGGTGGCCTGATCCCTGCGCAGCCATTTCAGAACGGACTTGAGAGTTCCACACACCATTTGGGAATATTGCTCGACCAACTGTTGACAAATAATTAGTGAGCGTATTGTGTTGTGGCTTGATTGTTTTCTTTTTTCTACAGGGCAAGTTGAACTGGAATACTCTTCCGCACACCATTCCAAGTGTCCAACACCGTCCCAAACGATTCCTGGTCGATCGTGCGGATCCATGATAACCATGGATCCGCAGGTTTGTTTGGGAAGGTTCTGATGGACTCCGAAGATCTGTGAAATCTTTCCAAACACCAAGTGAGCTGGTGAAATCGCTTCACGATTTAGTCTGTGGACTTTGGTATTTTGGTGAAATCGCCCAAGCAAGGAAACCCCAAGCAATGAAACTCACCTCCTATCTTCAACATGCCGTGCTTTTCCAGTGCACAACTCCTGAATCACTTCAAAACAGAAGGCAACATATTGCAAACAACCACACTTGAACATCACTTGCAGGATTTTTGGGACCCTTTCCAAGCCTTCCCCACGTTGTTTGGACTCTCCATTCTTGGCATCCCCGAAGCCTCGCCGGACTCAATGCTCCCACCTTCAGCAGGCTCTCCCGGAGGCCTTCTCGGACCTCCTCCTCCAAGCGCCTGAAGCTCTGGTGATCAGTGAGAGAAGGGCGGTGATCAAAGCCGAGACTGGGAGGTTTTGTTGTGAACTTTGAGGATGAAAATGAAAATAACACTAGACTGATCTAGACTGCTAGACTGTAATCATGATAATGGATCTAGAGCCTGAGTGATCTCTGTTTTGGGTTTCTTCCTAATCCAAACACATGTTTCTTCCATTGTGCCTTGCCAGTCCCAGCAGCGGAGCAGCACCGAAAACGAAAACCCACCCAACGCCTTCCCAGGATCTCTAAGATCGGCTGCACTAGCTTCCGACCCACGGGCTCCGCAGCCTCTGCCTGGCGAGCCGGACGTTCTCATCCGTTCTCCGTTCTCCGCGTTGTGCCAGTGAATCCATAGGAGAGGGTCGCAGTCGGATGCACTGAGCGAGCTCAGCATGGGGCAATGTACGGCAGGTACAGCATGTGCACAGCAGTCGGAAGTTTGGACCCACTTGCAAATGTACTTTGAGTATGCAAGGAATCGTGTTCATCACAGAACATTTACAGTGAGGCATGATGGTTCCAGTTTCTCTTTGAGTGCTTCCTTGGACAATCTTGCTTAGTGCCTAGGCAACCACCAAAGATGGTTGTCAGTCCTGGTTGCTACTGCATTAGCAGGTCGGTTGATAAGGATTTCGGATGCAGGGCAAGTATGACGTGTTCTCTTGTGATTGTTGCAATGCAAGGTCTAAACCTATAGGAGTTAATAACTTTTGGGGTGCTTGGCAAAGGTAATGTCAAACAAAAACCGGGACTTGCGGGACGGAAACACGAGTTTCATAGTTTTCCACTTACGACATTATATTAGCTTCTGGCCATCCTCAAGGACAGGCGTCCTCGGATAGATCGAATCTTTTGCCAAAGATGTCCTTTCCTGGTGGATTTGGGCATGCCTTCAATTCCATATATATATATATAGTATATGTTTTTTAATATATGCCCTAGAGTAAAGGAAATTCCTTTTCGGGTGACCTAAAAACAATTATTTTTACGTATTTGGTCTTTGACTGCCAGGGTATATATAATCCTATAGTGTATATATATTATATATATATATTTAAGGATGTTTAAGGTAGCCATGACAAGTGACATTCCCAAAGCCGTAAAGGCGATTCCGCCATCACCTGCAGCACCCAAGCCACGAGCTCACCCTCTCAGTTTCCCTGGTAAAAGGTTGCCTTCTTCCATATGTTCATATTTACTGGAGAAACAAATCTTCAAAGAAGGTTGAATGTTTGAAGGTTCTCCACTTTTCCTGGGTCGGTGCATGTCTCATCTGCTTGGGTCGGCTTACGACCAGCTTGGAAGCACAAGCCTTGGCATTCATCAAGCTGCACCACCATGGGAGCAAGGGCCACTGTAGGAGACGCGCCTGCGTTGGGGCCCCCAACGTCGATCCCCAACACGCGTTTGGTGTTTAGGGAAGTTTTCCCACAAAGACCCCTCAATTGGGAGGGTGCACATCCCTGCAGCATATTTTCCACAACATGTTCGCCTTAATTCGGCGGATTTTAGTTTGATGAATTGGCGCATATTTTGCATAAGATCCGGGTATCTGTTGTACTGTCCATCCACTGGCTCAGTGGCGCCCAAAGGACCAGCACAGTGGTCGCACAAAGGACCAGCCCCATGATCGACACTTGACTAGGTTCCGACTGAGTCAATGCACTTCCGACTGAGTCGTAGCAGTGTGAGTCAAAAGGACAGATGGTGGTGACTAGTGGGGGTGTCACTGGAATTCGCACTCGATTAGTTAGTCCATGCTATAGTTCCATGCGTGAGTCTTATTAGTTCCATGGCGATCTATGGTCATCCTCCGCGGCAAACGCTTTTTTGCTCCGCTCGTGCAAGCTCCAAATCCGGCTGGCATTGAACTTCCTATGAGCGGCACAGGCAAAGGCTCTCTAAAGCATCTCAAAGCACTGAGCTCCAACCGCGACTTTGCGAATCGCCAGCCAATGCTTCAAGACGCGCAAACGAAAGGACGGAAAATAACACACAGAAAGGGCATCTCAGGTCTTTCGGCAGCCTGTGCGTTCTGATCTTCACCACTGCTGCCCACCAGGTTGGCATGGTGGATGATCGAAGCGCAGCGTGTGTGGCGCAGTCGGCATAGCCTGTGACCCAGCAAACGGAGGAAGCAAATGAGAGGAATACACGGTCTTCCGTGTTCACATGATGTGTGTGGGTCTGGTGCTCCCCATATGTATGTCATATGATTAGAAATATCTATGACAATCTATGATGCACATGGGCAAGCTTGGCAAGCTTGTCATTGAGCTAAGCCAAGCATGAAGATCTATTTGCACCACAAAAACCCCACAAACTTGACGCTACTGGCTTGCACATGAAGCTTTACAACTCTCTGAACAACAGGGGATAGAAGGATGAGTTCCCCATAGCAGACCCCATTGTTTATTTAGTGTGCTGTCCCACTGCCTCTTCTGCAGTGATTGTATTCTTGCGGGCTCCGGACTTTTGGATGGAAGATCTGTCATAGGCCCGACGAGACCAACCCTAGGGATCCATATAGCTTCTCAGAAGATACTTGGACACTCCAAGCCTATACTATATACATCAGAAGGTTTGTGGATCCATATGGAAATGATTTACTCCATGCAAAAATCCACCTTAGAGGCCCATTTCTACCCTCCCTGAGTTCAGGGATTCAGCATTTCCCTCAGCCTATTTCCTGCTTTGCGATCATGTCTGGAACCACGTTCTCGGTGACTCAAAGGCGTTCTCAGGCAGCGAAACGCCGGCGTTTCACGTCGCAAGCAATCGCAGACCTGACGAGAATCGGGGAGCTTAAGTCGCAGGCAATGACGAAATCAGTTTCGCCTATCACGACACGACAACGTTCTTTTCTAAACGACTATGGATCTACCTGCTGAGATGCAGTCGGCTGGCCGGCGGCCTCTGTCGAGTCTAGCGCAGCTCTGCAAGCTCCAAGAAACGTGCACGCCAATCCCGCAGCTGCCGCTCAGCAGCCTCAAAGTTCTTGGGAAGTCTGGAAGAAGTACTGCCTCAGCAGCCTCAGCAACCAATCAGGTTTCAGGGTGGAGCCCTTGAAGAACGGGAAGGAATTGCACATGATACATACTATATAACAAGTCATACTTATGAAACATCTGGACCTGGACCCTCTAAGAAATTCAGTTTTGATCCAGGATTTCAGCGGTGACGGGAAAACAGATTTTAATGGAGCACGCCCGTACGTTGTTGTCAACTAAACGGGAAACGGAACCAGTTGTGTGAAACAACTGTCACATGTAAATAACGTTACATAGCTGATCCCTCACATATATATATATATGACAAATTGACAAAGGTCCACCTTTGTTCACCATAGGCATATCTACTTTATCACTGTATCATCTATATATCCGTTTTAGTCAGCCACAAACACACCTATATTCGCTATATTGACATACCCGACACGAAGCAAGTATTTCGACTCTACACAGGTTCCACCTGCCCCGTCTCCCAAACAAAAAAGAACAAGTGGTAGGAGCTCACGCACAACGAAACCAACATCTTTTTGGTTAGTTTCTGTCAAGATTCTTGGAAAGAGACTCCAAAACCAAAAGGGACTCCAAAGATTGATCGTTGTGTAGCAAAAAATCAATGAACATATGCTGAACATGTCCTGATGTAGTTTATAAATACAATGACGTCTTTCTCTACACGATGATAGCACAGCAGAAGTCACTTTTTTGTCAATAAAATATCAAAGGAGCTATGCTGAACATATCTTTAACTACAGAAGTCTATCTCTACAATTTGATAGTACAGCAGAAGTCACATAGAACTGAAACAACACTTCTGATACTATAACGTGTGAATGTCATATTCATCGGCCAGCCGATGTACATGCGCACTCGCACACTCGAGCTCTTTGCATTTTCCCTGCCAGCCATTCATAGCTCGTGGAGGCCAGGAAAGTTTTCAGGGTGGAGGAGGGAAAGTTATACAGATAGATATATCATCAGCGCAATGCACTAGACACACTAGCCATTGCATGATGCTGTTTCCCGACCCGTTCACAACCATTGATAGTTTGGAACGGGCGCGTTCGGATTGACATTTGGTTGTAGAAGGACGTGCTGGATGTCTGGTTGACAAAAAGATTCATGTGAAGGACGGCCACTGAGCTGAAGGTTTGTTCTAAATCACACACCCACGCCGTCAATGTTGTGTGGACACGTATAGCGGACGTGGACCAGAGAACCCCACTCACAGTTGATCAAGGCCAACCAAACCACCACAGTTAATAGTTGACATGTCAGCCGTAGGCGATGGCGGCGTGTTGCTTTCCACGGCAAGCCGGTGCTCATAAAGCCTAAGTAACCTTGCATGTCATACCACCGGCAAGCCGGTGCTCGTAAAGCCGAGTCCTTTGAGGCAGGGGCACCATCGGCCAGCCGATGCATTGGGCTGAACATAGCAGAGCTTGCCTCAGAGACTGGCCTGACTGAGGAGAGGCAGCGCTGGCCGTCAACGGACAAAGCCTGATCGAGTAATTGCTCCAAAGCTTCACGCAAATGAACCAGCGCATTGCGAGCGATTCACAAACGTTCGCCACCGTTTTGCCTGCGAGCCCCTGCAGGTGTCCTTCTGACTAAGAAAGCGCACTGTCACGCGGAAACTGCCCTGTCACAATCTGCAAGGCGAACTTTACAGGGTAGACTTGCGAAGCCTTCGCAGCTTTAGGCTTGCCAGTCACTGTCTTCTTGCCAGTCTTTAATTTCACCTTGACAGCGCACAGCTGCTCGGGCTCATCACCAGCGCGCTAGACTATGGCTTCTGCCTTTGGAGCACTTTGTGGTTTTGAAGCTTTGGCTTTTGCAGCCTGCTTCTTTGGGGATGGCTTCTTCTTTGCAGCCTTTCTCTGTCGGCGGGCCCTTGCCGCCCTTGCTTTAAATTTCGCGCCGATTGCCGCAGAAAGTCGGCCACCCCAAAGAGCAAAGTTGATTGTTGGAACTGTACCCAAAATCCTTCATGAAAAGATGGCGCTGCCATGGGGAAGCGCATCATCTCTGTATGGAAGAAGAAACTGCTGGCAGGCTGCTCAATGACCGATGCGATTTTGAGCATAGAACAAATGGCGCGCAAAAGAGAAACTCTTTCATTAACCAGATTGCCCTCTCTGACAGTCGACAAGTCAGTGTCTCCGTATATGGATTTTTTGGGCTGCTTTTTGTAACGCTTCGTGATAGCCACACCCAACTGCTGCAATGTGGGCCATCATCGCCACGCCGCCCTCTTTGTGGCAATGGTGTTCGTCAGGCCTTCTTCGCAGCATAGGTCCAAGTGGGCGCCGCGCTCTCGGTCCAAGGCGCCGCCCTCAGTCCAAGCAGCTCTGCTCACCGCGCCACCCGGGCTCTCCCGGCAAAGAGATTGTTGCGCACCACAGTCAAAGGGCTTTGCCGCTCTCACACCGCAACATCCTTTTCGCAAAGCTTGGGCAGAGACTGATGACCTTCGATGGGACACCGAAGAAGTCATCACGGGAAGCGCTGCTTTTGCCCGGGCTGTCCCAATCTGCATGCAGGATGTTGAGCAGCCTCATCCGGCTTACTTGAAAACATCAGCACCACGACTTGAGGTTGGTGAGCCCTTTCCTATAGACTTCGCATGAAAAAATAGTAAGACAAAGCGAGAGAAACATCCACATCGTAGCACGCTCAAGTAGCACCTCATGGGCGTAGTCTGTAAAGTCTTCATCCTGCGCACAGAGGCACCCTTGGAGGAATACCACCGCCCACAAGGCTCCGATGAAAGCTCGCACAGGCAGGCGGCATGCCCATGTGCAGCTGCAAGTTTTGCCACTGGATGACAAAGCAAAGACAGAGCATGCTAATACACGATGACATCCGTTCATATAAGGATGAGATGTGACGCCTTTGATTATCTGCTCAGTCCAATGCCGTTTAGGGCGGCGTTGAACATGTGAACTCTTTCAAGGGCAGCTGTTAATCTTCTCCACTAATGGAAAGAAGGCATGGATGTTCTGTGTTGGATTCAACTTGGCTCAACAGTACTAGACTATAGACATCATAAAAACTGCTGAAGTCAACGTCGATGAGGATGAGGTGTGAACCATCGGCCAGCCGACGACTAGAACTCAAAAGTTGCAATGATTGCTGAGACCTGTGGAACCGGCAAAGTCTGAAGAGCAAAGACTTTGGCCTTGGCACATGTAGGTTCTTGGGCAAATGGTTCAACTCAGAAAATGAACTGGCCACGCCAGCAAATAAAAACGCTTGGACCACCTTGGCAGGCTACAGGTGGACCTAGGTTGTTTGTCCTAGTGTTGTGTATTGTGTGGTATTGTGCGTCTCTGTGTGTAACTTTTGTAGTGCGTGCAGTGTGCTGTGCAGTGTGTAAGTTGTGTAAGTAGTGAACTGTGCACTGTGTGAGCTGTGAAGTGTGGAGTGTGGTGGTGCAGCTGTGCCCAAGCATGCTAGCTTCATGAGCAAAACAGCTGCAGAGACACTGTGCTCTTGACATGCTTCAGATGGCACCCATGTGGTCTAAACTAAAACCCAAAGATATTTGGTGGGACAGGGTCTCACCTGAAGCATGCCCAAGTGGTGCAGAGCCTGTGCCATGGAAGCCTTTTTCACACACAGGCACTCTGTCCAAAACTTTGTACCTTTTTCAAGGTGCATCATTCACACCTATCACTGTGGCAGAGGAACTACACCTTTATCAAGGTGTTCCTTGACTTGTGGATTTCCCTTTTTCAAGGAAATTCGGCACACAAGTCTTCCCTCATCTGGAGGGCCTCCCCCTTTGTGAGGTGATCCTTCTCCAGTGACTCTTTGATCCTGTCTACCACCCAGCTGTATTGGATGGTCTTTGCCACCTCCACAACCAAAAACTTTTTCTGCCCATTGCTATGGCTACCAGCACCTGGGTGGCTTTCCAGCTGTTGTCTTAGAAAGCTTCACCCAAGGCTTCCTGGTCTCCTTTTCTCAGGAGGCCTTCTTTGCAGCGCCCTTTTTCAAGGAGCCTTTCTTGGCAACTTCCTTTTTCAAGGCTGCAGCTGGCTTTTTCAAGACACCCACTGGTGTTGCCGCAAGGGATCCCGCCCCTGAAAGACTTTGAGGTTTCCTGGCTCTGAGTCGATATCGATTCAGAGATGATCTGCCGGAGCACTGGGGTTTGTTGAGCGGGGCAAGAAGAGGATGCGAGATCTTTGGCCTAATTCATCCCTTCTAAAGACACGTTATGAAACCAACCTAGTTCTAGAAGCTCTATATAGTCTCCGGGTGTTTGATTTGGTACCAGTGACCAGTGTTCACCCCACTTTGAGGCATGACTTCATGGACATGACTTCATTCAAAAAAAGCATCTGCACAGCGTACTCTTTTGGGCGTGATTTCATTTTGAGGAGTGGGCTCACAAAGAAGCCACTCGACTTAGCGCAGCGCTCCAGCACCTCCACCGCCTGACGGCAAAGACGGGTCTAGGAGCTCCGGTCTGATCTGAAGTACTAGTTTCCGTCGTCGCTCTGCGCAGGAACCCTATGGTGAAGGTGCTCATGAAGCTCTACTCTATGTCCACTTCCGCAGCATGGGTTCTGTAAGTGTCTCAGCTATATGTCTCTAAAATCATGCAGTTTAAAGTGAATTTGTGAGGATGTGGGTGATCTTGGCCATGATGCTGTGCAGCACGGATTGATCGTCTGACGGGCCTGTTACTGAACCTTGTTTTGCAGGATATCGCTAACAATGATCAGGGTGAGGAGCTCGTGATAGAGAACCTGGATGATGAACCAATCATCATCAGCACCAAGGACTGGGTCATCATTGGTGCCTAGCTAACCATCACGCATCCCCCCATGACCAAACATGAGCATGCCGACGACGACTACTACCACTACTACTACCACTACCTTCGCTAGGGCTTCAAGTACCTTCTCAGAAGGTATCAAAAGATCTTCCAAACTTCAAGCCCACCTCAAACACCTTCTTAAGGTGCATGGAGCCCTAGAACTACTACGCTACACTTTTGTACTTGGAGCCCTGGATCGATCCAGTATTTTCATCACCTCAGGGGCTGAAGTGCCTCCTCTTTCGACCCTCCAAACCCACCCCAGGCTCGACACTAAACATCCATGAATATCAACTTGCAGTCAGCTCTGCTGACACATCTCAGGTTGTGTGCCGCTGGGAGCTTGCAGACCTTCAATGCAATGCCAACTGAGCTGCCGCGCTTGGTGGTGAGCTCGTCGTTGGCGTGAGCACGTGTGGTGAGCATGTGAAAACGGCGGGCTGCTGGAGGGTGGCAGGAACAAGTTGGTGGTACAAAATCCCTTGGTGAGGGAACACCACACGTGAGATCGATGATTTTTGGCAACCATGGATGATTTTGGGGGAAGACTGTGGTTCAAGACATGTCCGGAAGACGATTCCATTGGATATATTTGGTTACCATTGATGATTTTTGGGAACACCATGTCCGCGTTAAGTTCCTACTTTTGTTGATGTTGGGTCCGGAGCCACAACCTGGTCAGGCAGGCCTCAGACCCCAAACACCTTCTAAGAAGGTATCCGGGAGCCCTTGGGAGTAGAGATAGAACCTAGACGACGGGTAAAGCTAGAACCATTGCTATCATCTTGTAGAGATAGACCTCATTGTATTTACAAGCTACATCAGGACATGTTCAACATAGTTTCATTGAGAATTATCGGGCAAAAACAAGTGATTAATTTTTGGAGTCTCTTTTGGTTTTGGAGTCTCTTTCCAAAAATATTGACATCTTGCTTCTGTCTGGATCCCGAGGAACTGGTGCGCCTTGGCATCACCCTCAGCTGCGGCCTCTTTGAGCTGCTCAAAGGCCTCTTGAGCTTCGAAAGGGTTTCGTTCATCTGTTGGGGTTGGCGGTTGTCAAACCAGGTGGACGTTCGGTGCATTTCGGCCTCATCCACAAGTTGGCAGGGGAGCGACACAAGTGAGAGGAATTATAGGACAAAGAGAAATGCAGGACCACTATAACACCCTATAAGAAGTTCCTGCCACCTTTAGGAATTGTATATATAGTGGAGACAAACCGATGATGGCCTTCAGATCCGATCCGTGGCCTTCTTCTGTGCAAAAAACAAAGGTTTTGACCGGTGCAGGTTTCATAGGTTCTACCCGGGCAGTCATGATCGGCCTCTTCCGAGTGCTCACCAGACCGGGACAAAAGAAAGAGCCCCAGCTGACGCTTGGCTTCGGTGAAGCCGCGCGCGGCAGACCTGCAACGTCACGCAGGGGATCAACCTCTCCATGGCTGAGGTTTGTGGGGGCCAGCAGTATTCGGGATTCGGATCAGAACCGAACACAAAGGCCACCCAAGTCAGCTTGGTCAAGGAAGCTTCTTGTGAACAATCCCCAAGTCATGTGAAAAATCCCCATCTCCTCCGCTCTCTTCATGTGTAGATCCAGGGGGTCCGAGTCGGGGGAATGCGGCCGCGGTCCAGTTCGGCCCAACTGTGTGGTCCAAATCGCTCCCGTGCGGACGGGGGATTGCATGGAACAGAGGTCTTATGGTTTGTGGCTGGCCTGGCCCTTGGGAAAACGATGCTCCGAAACCCAAACAGGTGGGGTTTTCTACCTGCATGTCTTCATCGTAGTGTCACACCAAAACCCCTCTCAGATTGAAATGTCCATCCACAACCAGTCTCACCCTGCCTCCGGTACCATTGCTTCGCTGCCTCCTCGTGGCCCGCCAAGGCCTCCGTCTCGGCCAAACCAAACATGGCACCGGGCTCCTGAGGATTCTGTTCAGGTTGTAAGGAACTGGGCCACGAGTCAAGCAATAATATGTGTATAGGACTATCCAAGGGAAAACTAATCTAGGCCGCCTAGGCCACACTAAGTTCGATGGGGCTTCCATCTTGAAGACGCTTTTTGGATGCCCTTGGTAGGAACTAGGTTGGTGCTTCTATAGTGATTGGTTACTTCTTTCAGTGGTGTGAATGCTTGTTTGCGCAACAGAAGACCACAGAATACACACCTGTGGCTACCAACGCGGCACTTTTACTTGCTGAAGGGAGCCCCCCTAGCACAAGTGGCGGGGAAGGGGCTATATCGCGGTCTGGTGACCACCGGTCATGGGCGAATTACGTAATTAAGCGAAAGCGCAAAGCGAAGGCAAACGAAAGACGAAGTGGCTCAAGCGCCCACTGCACGAATGGATTTAGCACGACGATTCCCTTCCTTAATCTTCAACGGATACCCGTCTGGAGCGACATAGTTCTCCAAGAGGACTCACCTGAAAGACACATGTACCAGCTAACTGGCAACACATTGATTCGAGCTTTGTTGATATAAGTTGGAATGAGAGCCACCCCACACATGGAGAGAACCTGCCCCACAAGAGTGGAGAATGTGGTCTCCGCCTGATTACAAGCCACAGCAAATTTAAACTGACCTTCACCGGCAGTCTGTCGAAAGGGCAACTAGCCGCGAACCAAGAACATAAAGCAGCATATCCATCCAAGAGTTACCTATATATATATATTATATGTCTGCAGTTGGGCACGCATGTATGCTGTTGGGCCACCGAAAGGCGTGAAGCCATTCAAGCGCACATCCAACTAATTCGTGCCCAGTAGGAGGATTCAAATAATGTGTGCTGCTTAGCAGTTGTCAAGTCAAATTGCCATGTATCAAGCAAGTGACAAGAATACATGCGGTCCGAGAATTCATTGGCTTTCCTCATGGTTAGGTTCTTCAGGATGCATGAAATCAGGGTTCGGTTTGCATTTCAAGCTGTTTGCCAGATTCCCCCGAAGAAGACCTCGCAAAAAGAAACACCGAACGGAAGGTCACTCATTCAGCCAAGGTTCACCCTGCAGAGACGCGCGCCACAAGTAGTCAAGGCCTGTCGAAACGCTAGACCGTTGAACTCTGGATCTAACCGGGTCGTTTATCTCACCCTTCCACTTCCCTGGCATTCACAGCTCACGGGTGGTGTTGATGGACTTTTTGAGGGCACGGATTCGATCCGTTTGCTGCGGTTTGCTGGGGCTATGCAGTGATCAAGAGCTGGCAGTTGGAGAATTGAGGGATACCGACTTGGCAACCAAAGATGGCCTGATGAAAGGTACACTTGTTCGCCTTGATCTATCCTGTGTGTATTTTGGGTAGACTTATTGACTTGACTACTGTAAAATGAGGAAAAAGGATTCACAAATCTCGGCTGTTCATTATTTCATCTTCTTTGAAGAGTCGTCTATCCTTTCCCAAAAGGCCAGTGGTATCTTTTCCCAGCAGAAGGCCTTTCTTTGGGTGGGACCTTTCAGCTCCCTCATTCCTGAGATAATTTTGGAGGTCTTCCAAAAATCCGACGGCTTATGCGTATGTTGTTCCTGAAATGGTGACGGAACAACTGTTCAAGCAGCATGTGACCCTCACGAAACAGCACAACATAGCGCTCAAATGGTGCAAAATGGCGATCAAACGGCACACACTGTTGTCAACAGTTTTTGAGTGCTTGTGTTGAAGACGATGAAGGATTGAAACCTCACTTTTTCTTGAAACGGCACTGCTTCCATGAAACTTTACAAAACACCGACTGGAACCTTTGGAACATTGTGTGTTGACGATCCCATACTGTTTTCCGGTCAACACCAAAACACATGTTTTTCAACACGTGTGGCTCTGCCCCAGCAGTGCACGTTGATGGATACATTCCTGCACTATTTGGAACCACATATATATATATATACTGTATATAGACTAAAATAACAAACTAATCTCCAACCAACATGTTGACCTTCTAAACCCTTCACCACCAGCTACAAGTAATGCATTGACTGTGGACATTTCTCGTTTTGCGCTCATAAGTTTGTCCAACCGAATTTGCTGTCGCATATTCATCTTACTTGGCCCGAAAACAAAGCAGCAGCCGGCATAGCCATGCCTTTTTTGGCATTCTTCTTCACACCATCGCCAGTCAAGTACAAGAAGCCTCAATACACTCGCACAGGATGGAACATGTCTGTTCATGATTTTGGGAGCACGGAGACCATCGGGTGCTTGACCAGTTCCTCCCGACTTGTCTGTCAAAAACTGACCACAAATGGAACACTCAAACACCATTGGTTTATGACCCACGTTGTCGAACTCCAACCACCGCTTCAGAAGGAACAACAGATACTTTTATCGGGGTTAAATCACTCTAACGACAGGATGGAAATCACTTAGAGTCCTGGATAGCCCTGGTCAGGTTGAAGCAACCCTTCTCCGGGATACCCCACACGTTTCAAGGCAGTCTTATCTGTTGATAGTCTTTCACACCTTCTCCTAAGCAGCTCCCGGATCCGTTTTTGGGAAGACTCTCATCCATCTTCCAAACAAGTGATTTCGACCAGGATGATCTAAATACCTCCAGCTCATCAACAGTCAACATTGGAGCTCTCGCACATTCTGGAGCTCTCGCCGTTGTTGTTCGCCTCATCTGGCGCTCCCCTTGCATCAAGACATTGCTTTTTGCATCTCGAGGCACCCAGCCGTGTGGCGGCCGCCATCTCGCCCTGCTGTGCTGCGCGTTTGTACCAGCGGATGGCCTGTCGTCGACAGGCGGGCCAGGCCTTGATGGCCTCATGCCTCTTACACCTCATGAATCCATACCAGCGGGTAGGGATGATGATTTCCAATGGTCATCCTTTACCCCAAGATATTGCAGGGTTGGGACCCCTGGTCAGATCAGGACATGACATTTGGGACCAAAAACAAGAAGCAAATGCAAATATGTATAAATTGATATAAATGGTGTGTTTGGGCCCAAAGGCAGTGCAGGACGGACTGAGCAAGCTGGTTTGCCCCACCTCACTAAACCTCACTTGTTTCAACACACTACACCCAAATTGTGAAAAAAAACAATCCTGTCTATGTCAGCCCTAAACCAACCCGTATGAAAAGGTCCCGTCAAATCGTCTTCTCTTCAACATTGGACCAAGAATCCACTGACTCCAACTCAGTGAGGGCTGCTCCGGAGGTACCTGGAGCCCCAAAGAGGGATGGCTCAAACATGCTCGAACAGCGCCTCCTGCTGGAGGGAGGCATCCTTCCACTCGGCCGAGCGCTGCATCCTCATTGGGCGGCAACGCGTGCTTTGCAAACCACCCAACCTCTATCGTTTGAGGACCATCGGTGGTCTCAGTGTTAGGTTCACCCCCACGGCCATGATCCACAGACTTCCGCTCCTCTCACCATCTCTCAAGCCTCTCTCCGAGTCTCAGCTGGATTCCCCACTTCGTCTGCGCCGCAGGATGTCCCATCTCCGCTGACCTCTGCAGCTGTCCCTGCCGCATGAGCCACTCGCGGCATCGCCCCGCCGCGCGGCGTGCGTGCTCCGCGCAGGCACGGCGATCCGCGCCGTCTCCGGGCGCGGTCCGCGGCGTGTCCGGGCGCCGGAGCTCGAGGAGTACGGCCGGGAGGTTGATGTCTTGCCTTGAGCGGATCAGGGTGGATCAGCTGCAGAACCAGGAAACGACATTGGATTTCTTTTTGTGTAAGCTGCATGGCGTGACAACTTTGTAAACTTGCACTATAGAGAAGACATGTTGATTCGAGGTCCAAGCCACAATTCCTACAAACATCCCCAAAAAATATAAACATCGCAGCATCGCTATAAACAACCAATGCAGTCCATATTTGACCAAACTTCTCTGCTTGGAATTCACTGCTTTACTCCAGCACCCTGCCATTTATCCTGCAAGCTGCTGGAAAGCCTCCGGAATGCTCACATTCCAACCTCGCCGTAGTCAAGCGGAATGGGGAGATGACTGTTTGCAACCACTGCAGTGGCAAAGAACATCATAAGGTTCCGATATGCCTATACACCTCACAATCTGAAGGGAGCACAACCATACAACCCCCAAGGAGCTTGAGAATCTTCATTTGGAGCAAATATATGCAATTGAACTGGCACAACGTAGATGGTCTGTGTGCTTATGCCAACACCCACTCTAGCTACCAGGTCTTCTCCCATCACCCTGTTTTGCTCATCGTTGGAAGTGCATGGTTCTTCGGTCGCAAACAAGCCCAGCTGCATTTAAAATGACCCGAAGACCTCACTACCAGGCGCCTAGGACAAGAATGTATGAAGATTCGATGTTGTATCAAAAGGATCCTCGCCAGGAAGCATAGGCTTGGGCGAAGTGGCATTGACAAACTCAAACAAACTTCAAATCCCCAAAAGTGCGCAAAACCAACCCAAATGTGCAGCAATTAAGAAAAGAAAATAACAAACATCAACACGTTTCATCCCCAAATAGAACCTTCCCTCACGCTGACCGACCTCCTGTGGGCCCAACCCAAGCCTTGCTGACAACAGACCGTCATTGTCGTCTCTACGAGCTCCTGAACGGGCGCCCAAGCTCCGTGCGGTGCCCAGTGGTTGGTGTGAGCCGGTGGCCTGAAGTATAGACCCCCAAAAACCCTAAAGGCTCCAACCACATCCTCAGAAGGTAGTTGGAACCCTAGGGAACATACACGAACAATGATTTCCTGGTCGGATTCTGGGTGTAATGGCTGGTTCCTACTTGGTGACCTCTACAAATTGGTCCGAGAATCAAACGCATCCAGTATGATGTAGTAATCTCTCTTCTTGTGTTTTGGGAATGTCACAGGAAAATACACACCGAACATCGTTCGGAGGGTCGCTGGTGCATGCGGCTTCTTCACCGACTAGGGACGAAACAGTAGGGAGATGTCCTGGAGATGTCCGCTGATCCTTTTCACATGTGCTTGCTTGCTGGCCTGATTGCTTGCTTGCTCGCAGAAAGATATGTGTCACCCAAGCATGTCTGCTTTCAGTTTGTCCCCCAAAAAATGAACAATCAAATCGCCAGGTGGATCCCAGTCTGTCAACCAGGCTTAACGAATATATCAAGGTACACCAATTCACCGCAGGTGTTCCCCGCGCGTTCTGCGCGGCAGCACCGGCCAAGCGTCCCAGGTCACACCCAGCCATCCGGCCGTGCCAAAGGAGACCTCCTGAGGGCAGCTCTCGGGCCGCAGCGGTCGGTTTGGGCCGCAGCGGTCGGTTTGGCCACGGCGCAGCGCGGCGCAAACTCCAAAAGCACACCCAACGCGGTGTGTAAAACGGTGTAAACCCTATAGACACAAAACGGTGGTCCCCATGGTTGGTCCCGCCAAACCGCAGAAATAGCTGCTTCTGAGGGTGACAGCCTGCATGACTTACAAACCAAAGGTCCGCTTGCCCAGGTCTTCAGTATTTATTGGACAGCAAAAATCTGAAAACCACTGGTGCCTTACCATCCTGACCAGTGACTCGCCCAAGTCCCCTCATCGCCAAAAATTATCCCTCTGTGAACATGAATTTAGAAAACCAAACTAAACTAAGAATCCCACCAACCAGAACCAGTTCTGGATGTTTCGATTGTCCCAAGATAATTACTTAGCTTGTTCTGTCAAGGATTGAAACAGTGCCATATTGGAAAGCCCATGGATGTTTGTTGCCTTTGAGTTCTCCAAGTCTCCCGGCAGAACCGCTCCAGGAACTCCATGGGATCCGCCGCCCTCAGCGCCAGCTCAGGGCTTCCGCGGCCGTCGCCACCGCCAGAGTCCGCGTCTGGCACCTGGGGCGGGTAGCTGAAGATGAAGTCGTAGGACACACCTGGCACGCAAGTGACGGGGGCACGCGGGGGGCCGTGGCACCGTGGAAACTGAAGGGATGACTAAGCGACGTGACACTGGCAGTAACGGCACCCAAGACATGATGAACAAGATTGTCTTCTTTTCTCACTGGTACAACTCAGCTGAAAAGGTGCAACCATGTCCAAACCAATGTTGAACTCCAGGAGGGATTCTGGATCTTCAGCGTGATTCATGAGGTCAGGTGCCAGCATTTTGCAGCACAAAAGAGTATACGTTGTGTGTTTTGGTGCTTGAACGAATCAGCCTCTGACTCAGGTGCTGGAACCATAGGAACCTCCACATTGCTCCAGTGGCTCCATCGCACGTGTTGATGCCTTCTCGCAGTTGCTGATGCCTTCTTGCAGTTGCTTCACCGCATCGGTCCGCAATTCTAAGAGTGTTAAGATGTGCCAAGAGATCCCAATTGCTGCACTCTCACTTTCAGAGCAAACCACTTCGCAGCCAGGCAACCAGTCTCTATAACATCGGATGAACCAAGGGGTTTACTGTTGCACTTTCTCCCCTTCTCTCGACATACACAATCACACATCCCATCCTTACCGCAGCAGCAACATCCTCACCCCGCAACCCTCCGCAACCCTCCGCACCCTCCACACCCTCGTGCCACATCTCGTCTCGTGCCTTCCAAGGGCTCAAAGAAGTCGCCCTGGCGCAGCTCCACCGACCCAACGGCGTTCTGCTGCATCGCCTTCTCAGCCACGGCGCAGGCCGAGGCTGAGAGGTCTGTGTAGACCTGGGCGCCGCAGAGCGCCGCTCCGTGTAGACATATTGTTATATAATAATAAAATACTCTAAAAATGAAGAAGTTACTCACCTGTATCCCATCAAAAATAGATGGCATTTTATAGACAAAAGTTTCTTACCTAAAATGGTAGCAAATCCAGGGCTCAAGCCCCTCATTTTAGAGTGAGAAATGCAAGGAGGATATATAATGATATCTTCCAAAAAACTCCCGGTCCCAAAAAGACACCCACACCCCCTCCGCACCCTGTCTCTCCTTGAGAACCTCGTTGGGGAACGTTGGGGATGGGGAAAAAGACCCGACACGTTCACCCTCTGAGGTGCCACAGTGGCGTTGGGCAGCGCTGCCTTCACCTGGCGGGCATCCGCCGAGACCGATCGGCGGCGAGATGAGGGCGGAACGACAGGGTGAGGCGGAATAGGAAATCCCTGGAGGCCGGGGTTCTGAGGATGTGCAAGAAATTAAATGGACAGGTTGATCAGTTCAACTGGTGGTTTCAGATTTCATCTGATGTCTTGCTGATGGGTGGGTGGCTGGAGCTACTCTCAGCTTGAGTCGAACTGACCTGAGGGACCCCGTCCACTCTCTGTCTAGACGTTGGAATGTGAAGTCAAAAAGGTGCTGGATAAACATCATAATTCTAGTCCGGTCTTGTGCTTTATTGTCTTAAGAACGGAACTGATAGGAATGACTTCTTAAAGGTGAGTAGGTACTGTATCTCGGTATCTCTATATTCTGATCTATTCTGGTATGCTTGCGTTTCAGACCATCTATGGGACACCAGCTACACATACCTGCTCAGAAGCATCTACCTTCAGATCCCTGAAGCGACATTCAGATCCCACGAGCTGGGCCCTTAAAGAACAGAACGTCGACTAGACATGTTTAGAACGTTAACGACTTGAAAGATGTGGAGAAGTGCACGTCTGGATCATCTTTGGGTCACTGCAGTTGCTGGAAAGATACAGGGAAGAGCGACTTGAAAGAATACACCTACTGTGATGCGCTGCCAGATGCAGCGTCGCCGTAAGAATCACCATACCCAACTCATTCTGGCACACCTCATCACCCAACTTGCGAAACAAAACCAAAAAAGCTTCCTTGACAAATGGATCCTGACATGAACCAGGAGTCCTGGAACTTAAGTTCTTCAAGTTGTTTCTTGATGTTTCTGATGCTCCGGGGACCCTTGCCTTTTCAGGGATTCCCCTCACCTTCCACCTTACAACATCTTCAAACCCTGAAGACCGAAGAACCTTCTTCACCAGTTCCATGTCTGGGTGCCTTTCACTTGGAGGATAGGGTGCTCATGATATATCCACTCAGTGGATGGGACTAAATGGCACCCCTTTGGAACTCCTGGCACATGTGCACCTGTTTTTGTTGTTCTTTCTGAAGTCACCTGAGATACCTGACACCCTAATCCAGGGAAGCTCTTTAGCAAAGTGGGAACTGTGTCATAGAACTATATATAGGGAGGCATGTAGATCCATGGGCTTGTTGGTGATCAGGACTCAACATCCATTCATGTTTTCAAACCGTCCGAGAGATTGACCGCGTGCAAGCCAGGCCAAGAACCTCTCCTAAGGCAACAATCGAGACTAGTTCCCCCATATTTACAGTATATACTATATATATATAATACGTAAAACTTCTTCATAGATTCTCTAGACTCTAGATGCTGCTAGCAGGCAGCAGCCAGCAGTTGCTCCAAGAACAATGTGTTTTCCATTTCGTCACCTCCTCCCATCTGCCACCTCTTCCCCCCTTCTTCCTCACCCCGTCACCCGCCCCGCCAGCAACGAGAGCCATCCAGCGCCACCCGCGAGGTCCACCAAGGTGGTCGAGCCCCTGCGGTCCACGGCGCCGTCGCCCACGCTCGAGGAACCTCGCTCGAGTTGCTGGAGGATGTACCTCGCGGGTCGTGAGCCGTCTTGGAACAGCATGGGCGGTGACCAGTGGCCTCTATAGATGGAGGGGTGGGTCCCTGAGTTTCACGAAGGACGAAAGCCCAAATCAAGCGACAAATGATGCCAAATGTTGGGGGATATATGGAATATATTGAATCATATTGTGCATGAACATTTGTAGAACAGGTCTCTTTGCTGCCACATTGCATCTTATAGCTTCTCTTTCTGTTCTGCCGTGCTCCGTCCAGCAACCGAGTTGCTTTGCCCAGCGCAGGTATCCGGCATAGCGGAACCAGTCGTAGACTTCCTCTGTGTCCACCTCTGAACATGTGTCGAACGGTACGAGTTACGAGATCGTTCGTCCAAGCAAAACAAGAAATGGAAGCATAGCATGCGTCTTGTACAGTCGACCCATGCACTGAAATATGATAACAAGTTGACAAGACAACATCTGACTAACAAGATGTGGATTTCTAGCAACACAACCATCGAACAAACATGTGAAAAACAACGTTCAAGACAGGAGCTGACATCACACCTCTTTCATCCTCTTTCCATCCTCTTTTCATCCACCCTCCCATTAAAAACGCAACGATGGGATTTGATCCGCCCAAAGGCGGCGTAAGCGTCTACCAGATCCAGGTGTCCCACAGTCTTGGAGCCCCTTAAGTGGTTTGAAGCCTCTTGTATGTCCGTGGCTGTTGGTCCATTTGGAGGTTTAGAATAGAAGCTGAAGCCTCTTGTAATTGTAGTCTCTAATGAAAAAGAATACATGTCCAAGCTTCAATGGGGATGTGCTGATCTGTCAAGAATAGTTCTTACTTATACCATGTCCTTACTATACTCTACCAGTACCGACTAGAAAAATAAGTCACTCTAATAACAATTGTTCCCTCTCACAGAAAACAAGAGCAGCACACTCCTCACAGGGCCCTTCTTCGCGTGTGGCGTATTTTTTCGGCCTCCAGGAGCAGCGATGGCACCTCATCACCCAAGAGATACGACGCGTCCAGCGTGCAGTTCAGGCGATACCTGGACGACCCGCGGAGTGTTCGGTCGTACGTTCCATCGCGGGAGACAAGATCTTGAGCTAAGGTAAGAGGATCAAAGGTTATCTACATCTGTTACGAACACATTCGCAAAGTGATTGCTGCTACACAAAGGGTGCCCTGAAACCCTGAAACATGTTCCACCTTTATTCTTATAATCAATCAAGTTCTACCATGTTCTACCTGCCAGAACTGCTGTTTTGTCTGCCTTGGTCAATTTTTAGCGTGCAGTCAGTACATTAGACATTGGCTTCATATTGTTTGAGGATACAAGAAGGTGTCACCACCGTCACCGCGTGCCACCTCCTTCCAAGCCTATATCCAAAGGATCCAATCACATCAATCGTGCGTGTTTTGATGGTTTTAGTGATGTCTATAGGTGTCCTTAGGGTCTGTGGATCCAGGAAAACCAATCCACGACACTTCGGCCCCAAGATCGGTGAAGTGTTTTTTGTTTTTTTCTGGAAGGTGTCCCAAAAAGGATGCAGCAAATACCGACTGTACCGACACTCCAGCTATTTTTGGATGGCCGGAAAGAACACAAACATATACCAGGAGAGGACGTATCTTGCTTTCTCTATGACGCACCTACGCACCTTTTCGCTCGGCTTCAACAGCATGCTTCCAACAAAAGCAAAGATACCTCATAGGATCATCATACCCAGACACTCCATGGGACTGCCATATATGCCAATCAATTGACCCCCAGTCAACCACCCCTGGCCTGATTGGCAGTCCTATGGCAGTCCCAAACAGGTCGTGTCTGGGTGGCCATATATGGACGTCTCCGAAGCGAGTCGGGCCCCGAGTCGGGGTCGACCGAGCCACGCGTTCCGCAGCTCGTGGTCCACGCGGAGCCGAAGGGCGCGCAGCTGGACGAAGGACTCATCCCAGCCCAAGGCCTGGTGGGTCGCGACTAGACGGTGAAGTGTAGAACTCTGACGGACTCTGACGGATAGGAGCAGCATCCGAATAGAAGGGCAGGGAGAACATGACGATCCCTTGATCCAATCGTGATTTACAGATTTTATAGTGATCTGTACCATGTTTTCGACCATACAGTGTCAATGTGCATTATAAAGATATGAAAAGTGTTATTGTTTTACATTGACCCTGCGATACATGGAGTGCTTGAGTTGTGTAGTAGTGAACCCCTTTATTCTCGGTTATTTTTGGTCATGTTCGGACATTCCACATACCCTGCGCATGGGTCTGTGCCTATAGAACAGACCGCCTAATCCTTGCGATCTTACCCAGTTGCAAGTCTGGGTGGCTTTGCTTGGAGGCCGGGTGTCTATCCCATGAGGGGGATCAAACAGCAACCCAAAGATGGTGTTCTTGGTTTAAAAGATGCTTTCTTTCACATGCTCTCCGGCTCAGCGACCTCTCTGGATACAGTGACCTCTCTGCTTTCAGCCACCAAGCCACCCGCGTCACTTCCAGCTCCAGCCACTGCTTGCCCTCAGCCACGTGCCCAGCAAACCTTCGTGCTGCAGGGTGTTCGGTACCCGCGCTGGTGAGGGCGACGTAGTGCTCAAGGCCCAGGTGAAGCCCAAGGGATGCGTTGAGCTCCTGTGGCAGCACAGCCATGCGAAGCGTGTCAGAAGATGCAGGACTTGTGTTTTAAGATCCATACACGAATTGGAAGACCTCACTCCTTGTGTTGTTTGGTGTTGAGAGACAACAGGAGAGTGGGTTGCGGTGTGTAACAGGGGTCGGTTGCGGTGTCAAAAAAATGTGCTGGTTTGTGAATTTGCTGGTTCTCTCGCTTGGGCACCAAGTCAGTCTAAGGTGTTTCTTGGATGTGGACAAAGCTAGGACCGGCATACTAGAGATTCACTGGCCACTTGCGGACTTTTTCATTCATTGGTCATGATTCGACGAAGCGAATTGTAAGGTTCAGTCAGCTTTCTGCCACTGTAATTGACCATAAATATCCGCAGCACTCCTCACATGCGCAAGGGTTCTTTTGGTGCCACAGAATTCTGCAGGAAGCATGACAGTGACCCGATCAAGGGGTGCAAAGGCCGGAGAAGGCTACTCAGAAGGACAAACCAAACAAATTCATGCTCACAAAATTGTTTATGAAATATTATATGTAATATATATATATATGCTTATATCCGCCGACCCCAGGGTTTGAAGGACATCTGCATTCTTTTTGCTCAACTGGTGGCATTGTCCAAAGGAAAACGTGCATGCATAGTAAACCAAAGGGAGAAAAAACAGCCATCCTCTGAGTGCCTTAGCAAAACATCTTCAACAAGTCTGGATCTGTGGCTAAAGCTGCAAATGTGCCAACAGTTCCAATCTTCAAAGCTTGGCCATTGACTCTTCGGTCTCCTTACACAGTGGTGCCACTGAGAGGGCGAAGGCCTCAGTTGGATAGAGATAGGTCTCAACGGCGCTTGCATCACCGTGTGTAGCCGCGCTTGCGGACGGTGTGGGCGCTCCTCATGAATCAGGATCCAGCTGGCAGAGAGAGTGATTCGGGAAACACTCGAAAATCCGATTTCTCTGAATAGACCAACGAGTCCAGTATAGTCTAGTACTTTGTTTGTATTGGTCGATATATAGTACCATCTACACACCATTGACCACTGAATATCGTACCATATCCACCCCAATACACCAATGACCACTGAATATCGTACCATATACACCCCAATACACCATATACACCCCAATACACCATTGACCACTGAATACACCAATATCCTCCAATATCCGGTGACTGGGAAGTGACCTTCAGTGGTCAATGTCGCTCACCGTGCAAGAGGATCATGTTCTTTAGGTGAAGCCTGAAAGCCGAGCCTGTGAGGTGCAGGTTCTGTTTGGGCCGAAAGCATCTTCCATCCGGGTTGCGCAACACATCTGCAACCCTTCGAACCCTTAGCTCCTGCCAAGATCAACCAAATGCTATACCTCAGTGCAAGCAGAACAGTGATGGCGAAGCCTTACAGGAATTTCTAGTGACAGGTGTATAGTTAGTCTCATAGCGTAGCTTGTACTGTAAACCAGCACCGGCTATCTTTGGTAGTGCGTCTTCTGTATGCTTTTGATGACCTATCCTATCCTAGTGAAGCTCTCAACGTCCCTTCCAAGGGCACAAGCCGCAGCGCATGCCGGTGTTGGTCTGTGCTGAATGTGGTTCTGTTGTGAAACCCTCTGGTCAACCCTGAGGGGGGGTAATTGTCCTTTCCTAGACGTGGGATGAAGGTGTCATGTCAGTAATGTATTGTAGTGTGGGTAGGCAACTTTATCTCGAGCTGGATCTGTTAAGTATTTTCTCGAGCTGGATCTGTTAAGTATTTACAAGATGACAGCATGGTTGCGTATTTTGACATGTTTTGACCCTGTGCGTGTTGACCTTTGAGTTCTCCCATAGTTGATGATCTCATTAGAAGCACTAAACTAAAACTGTTCAAAAAAACATTGCCATCGCACCAAATATTTGTGGGTTCTCATGTGTGTTCTATGACAATTCATTGAAGACTTTGTCCATCAAGAAAATGCCATCAAGTGCTGTCTAGCATGTTTCCAAACCAGACTAGCACCCTGGAAGATCATATAAGACACATCTGAAGATCACCAAACAGATGGCCATATAAGATACATCAATCACCCAAACCAGATTGGCCTCGCGATGTGAAACCAGGACCGGTCGCAAAGGAAGGGCCCACGTGGTCGACCATCGCCGCCAAAGGTCGACCATCGCTGCATCCGGAAACGCTGCGTCCGTCTTGGGGTCGACCCAGACTGTCGACATGTCCCATGTCCAAGCTACGGGAAACAACTCTGGACGTACCGACTTTCACAATTGACTGAACATGTGCGTGATTTGCACAGCTGTTTCCGGCTGATGTCCATGTGAGCAAAATGTCCACGCCTCCTTCAACTTCACGCAGTGAGCATCAATGCAACAAGACATCTGAACAGTCTCTTGGGACACCTAGCCTTTGCAGATCAGTTGGGGTGGCTGAAGTTCCCAGTCCTATGGATTGTTCGGAGATATGCCCCAACCAGACCTTTGCAAGGAGTACCTATACTTTGCAAAGGGAAAACAAATTAATGAATCAGGATGTCGGACAAATATGGTTTTGCTTCCAGATCAGGAAATCCCTCTCTAAACGAAAGTAATGTGAAAACAGGAAAACAGCACCAAATGTGGAGGGCCTTCCAGCCGTCCTGTCTTGGGAGTGACTGGGAGAATGCAGGGCTCAAATCCAAACATGTCCCTTAAATCCACAAGCCTTGCTTGCACCCGTTGCATTCCGCTTCTTGAGCCATTAGGGGAAGGGAAAACCAGCGCAACCAGCGCAGCGCGCAAGCGCTGAGATACAGTTGAAGGTCCTAATGTCCATCACTGTTGGTAGCCAGGCCAAAGGGACCCTTCCCCTTCTTGTTTCTTTTCGTGTGGGTCTTACATCTGCACTGCCCAAAGATCCATGACGCTCAAAGCAAACTTAGATTGGCTTGAACCACCGCCCCCAACTTGCTGCTTGCAGTCATCAATGATAGAGCCAATCCCTTCTCAAACATCTCTCAACACCTTCTCCTTCAGACCTTCCTTGCTTCTTCGCATCCTGGATCCTTCTCTTTCTTCCGCCACCCACCGTTTGCGACTCCACTTCTGCCTCCGGAGGCCACTCGAAGTTGAGATCTTCCACTCCTGCGCGAGCGCGGAGACGCTGAGCACCAGTCGCTGGGTGCAGGTCCAAGCTGTGCTGGTGCAGGGCCAAGGTGTTTTGAGCGGTGTCAAAAACCATCCGGAACTTTTATTAAGATTATAACAACCTTTCGCCAATCCCTTCGCAACGCTTTCGCGGCTGCATGTTGTGCTTTCGCCGACCCACTTCACCCGACAACCTCTTTAGCTAACCCTTTCGCCGAGTTTCTGCTACTTACATCTAAGAAAAGTATCAGCATGTATCAGCAAAGGGGAATCATTCCTAATCTGCAACCACTGCTTTCGCCACATCTTCGCGAACCTTTCGCCAACCTTTCGCCTGGTTATCATGAATCTTTGGATGACATGCTTTGTACTGAAAACCTCTTCGCCAACCCTTTCGCAACAAAATCCATTCATCAAAAAATCAGAGCCTTTCTCCAAACCTTTCGCCAAGCTTTCCCCAACTGCAGTTTTCCTTTCGCGCAGATTCATAATCTTAAGTCCTACCTAAATTCTTTCATAGAGGTTTATGACGTTGCTCTTTTGGACACTTTTCAGGCAAAATCGAACCGAAGAAGAGGCCAATGTCAACAATATAGAACTAAAGGGAGTCTTGATATAGAACTCGCGACGATGGGATTCTCTGAGACCGCAAACGTTCTGAGACCACAAAGCCCCTTGACACGAAACCCTGAATTCTTCTCAATCCCACAGGACCTTCTAATCAACTGCATATAGTGTCCCCACTAGTCACTAGTTCCCCATCACCGAAGCTTCAACAAGAATGCTCCGACCAGGTGTGACTGGGCGAGGAGAAACGGAATGGTCGACTGGTTTTTGTGAACCGAACATCCAGATAAAACGCATGCGCCGCAAGCACGACCAGTAATCCATCAGTGTGCAACAATACACGCGTCCGCACCCGCCCGCTGATCAAATCGTGTTTTGTGTTTGTGTCCAACATTTGTCTACAAGGCATCTTTGTGCGGCCATGAATAGAAAAGCAAGAACGCTCCCACAAACACAGCAGAATTGTCCAGTCTAGCCATACACCCATCGCGCAACCATCGAGCAGAACAAGAGATCGGGCTCCTGTGGAACTGGCGCTGTTTGCCAAGGCTTCTTGCAGTTCTTTGTCCTGGAGCTGGACAATCAACAGCACGAGTTTGAAAGACCAATCACCCCATGGACCAATACAAAACCCTTATACAACTGCCATTGCGCCCTCATGAGACTAAACCACCTGGAAAACCTTCGCGTGCGGATGGATGGAAGATCCCACCCCAACATTCCGATCTTTGATCTCAGTCTGCCCTCAATCTTCACTATTCAGATTGCCGAGGTCGGAGATTTGATCTGAGCAAATTCATAGGATTATATTTTATACTTATTTACTGTGTTGTTGTTTTTCTTCTTCACGTTGCATGTTCGGAACGTACTTCGTTTGCGCGTTTAGCAAATGTACGTGGCACTTGGTTCCTCCAAATCTTCACGAAAGACCTCGTCGCAGCAGAGCAGCACGCTCAAGGCTTCTAAGGCCTCCGGCTGCGGACGGGACTGCAGTGATGGATGATGAATACAACACTCAGAGCCTTGCCAGGATGAAACTGAAACATACAAGTCCTGAAACAACAAAGCCTGTGACACATGTGTGACCCAATATACATGAATGGCGACATATTGTTCATGATTTTTCTTGGCAAATTCCCCCAACACAATGAATGTAGCTTGACCTTCCAGTTAGGTCAACCAAGGTATGCAGGTGCTTGCTTTTGCCGATGCTTGCTTTTGCCTAGGGACTGAAAACTGGACCCGTTTTTACATGTTTTTCGACGATTTTCGACGTTGGTCATGGTGTCAGCAACCAACGTCTCAGCAACTATCGGATTCAGCAACCATCGGCAACCATCGGATTCAGCGTCAGCAACCAAACAGTACGATTTAGCAACCACGCTTCAGCCACTTTGCCATTCAGCAACTGCACGTTTCAGGAATGCCGCTGAGATGCTCGACAAATGCGTGAAAATATGATGAATGCAGATGATGAATGCAGAGCTTGACTGAGGAGAACAAACACATATGAAAAACGTAGACATTGGCCGTGTCACGAAAAAACATTTCGTTCTAAAGCAATGCATATTTTTTAAATAATTCCACTGCATTTGATATGAAACTCCTGAAAAATGGCTACGGTGTCCAATCATTATCATGGTTGTTCTTGCTACTTCATCGTTTCCCATGTTTTCTCGGCTCTTGATTCCCAGCCCCGCCTCCTCGAAAACGCACGCCACATCTGTGGTGAAAAGAACCAAGAAGAGGCGACCTGCAGCGACAGTCCACGGCCACACGAATAACGCGGAAGACCTGGCGATGGGCTCCCGGCGCAGCTGATGTCGCAACAGCTCCGCTGTGGCGCTGCTGGCGTCGTCCTGCGGGTAAGGCACGGTGAAATTCAACGAGACCAAGAAATCATCCAAAAGGTGAAACATGGTGAAACATGGTGAAACAAATTCATTGACTTCCCAAAGGAATCATCTACTCATTTGGTGACCTGCAAATTGATTTATATACAATGGAATTCTCAACATGGACCCCACGCAGTTTAGTGGAATTCTCAAAATGGAAAACAACACATGTACGTTTTGGGTATATTACGTTACCACTAACAGTGGATGATGATGATGATGATGATGATG